CCCCAAAACCCCAAAACCCCAAAACCCCAAAACCCCTGATATTCGAATAATCTAGAAAAAAAGTGATGATTATAAAATTCATTAATTAATCATATTTTAATAAATCATTGCAAAGCTAGTTTAATTTTTCCAGTAGCATACTAACTTAGTTCTTTTGAGTCTCTGTCTGGCTGTTTGCTAATTTATATAACTAATGTTTCTACAAAATGTTGAGTAAGTGATTGCTTGATTTGTGAACCTAAATTCGATGCTAAATCACCAATCAAGCCAAGAATGCTCTTTTATAGTTCCTAATATATTTATAAAGCAAATTATTTCTTACAAGTGATGGACTGTAGGTTTTTTCAAGTAGCTATTGAAGATATACCATGATGTTGGGCACAAACTAGGCCAAGTATTGTTTATGCTGTAATTGATGAACACCGTGCACAACTGTGGTGTAGCACTCAACAATTTATACTCTAAGCTATCTAAGATAGGTGTATAGATCTGGGTCAGCATCATCAGAAACAGAACTTAGACTTTATTTTGAAGCGCTCTCTAGAATCTTGAGAGTATCAATTAAGTAATTGTTGCTAAATTACTGTCCTGCGCACATGGCAAGATCTCCAAGAGCAACAAGGGCTTAAAGTTTTGAATGCCTATCTTGATTGGAATCTTTCAAGATTTAGATAAGAGGTGGCACAAAGTCTTGAAGATATGAAGCAATTTATTCTCTGAATGCGCAAGCTAAGTCGGAAACAATACCGCACCCAAGTCTGACGCATTCATCATCAGTGCCCTTTAGAGCAAATACCAAGTAACTTCCGAACTCATTAATATCCACTCTATCCGCAACTCCATTTATCAAACCACTAAGCGCAATTAGCCCATTCTCTGTTACCTTCTTTTAGTTCTGGAAGATCATGACTATTAACTTGATAATGTTTGATGCAGTGATGTTATCTACTTTGTTTCCAACTTTCACAAGAATAATTTACAATAGACCTGTCAAGTAATCTTAGAACTCTTTACTTTTGATTTCTCCATGAACTGCTGTGTTCATTGTCTATTCAATCAACTAAAGAACTGGAAGTAGAGTGTTGTAAAGTTAATCATATGAATTTACAGCAGCATTCTCACAAAGTGCTTGTAAAGCTGAAAAACTAGATAAGGCAAGATTGCACTGAGTTCCATCAAAGTCTGTTCTGTGAGCATTTTAGAAAAGAGAGTCAAACAGTGGCTTGAAAAATGGTGTCAAATAGTTTTGAGCTTAGAAAGGATCAGAACCTCCACAAGAGTAGGATAGATATTCAATAGCCCTGCAGACCTAATTTGAAATTCTAGGTTTATCTTGTAAGGCCTGAATAAATACTGGAATGATAACTGGCAGAATTGTTGGATTTGTAATAACATCTGAATGAGACTCACATATTTTTTACATTACCCATCCAATTGTCTCTCTGACCTTTGGATGCTAGTCTTAGAACATTTATATCAAATTTTGAATTCCTGGAATGATAACATTCATAAATCTAATCTTATCAGGTCCCTCAGTAATAGCTCCCAAAGCAAGCAATGCTGAATATCTTTTTATCCACTCAGGATTTTAGATATTAGTACTCACGAATCCCAAAACTGGCTCCATAATCTCGTTTCCCACGACAACTGAAATGGCTCCTAAACAGCATCCAGCTGAGAGGGCAACTCCGAATTCGTCAATATCTTCTTCATCATCTTAAATGTTTACCTTCTAGATGCATTCTATCAATAAATGTGCCAACTATTGGCAGCATTGCTAGATGTAATTGTTAACAAATGCATTCTTTTTAATCCTTTGAGCCTCTTCCTCAGCAAGAGATGTCCAAAATTCTATTCCTTGTGCTCCTAATCTTTCTAAATCTGACTTGGCAGCAAGCGCTGTTACTTCGCAGATCTTTTGGAAATAAAACTTTATAAACTCATACTCTTATCTTCCAACCTCAACTAAAGTTTACATGGCAATCACTCTAATTTCTTCATTTTCCAAAGTCAATAACTCAAATATTCTAGCCATTATATAATCTCTCTCTCCATCTACTTTAAAGTTGTTGCTTGCATAAGGTAGAGCTAAGAAAAATGCTTTAGCAGCTAATAAAGTTGTTTTTGTCAAAGAGGCATCTGCAGATAAATTTCTAACTAAGGCTTAAACTATAAAGTTCTTTAGTTCTGGAGTAAGGTCGCATGGTTGAAGCTCCTCACAAATAAACCCAAGAGTTTCAAGGGATGCTTCTCTGATTTCAATGGAGTCATGAGCAGCATTGCCTGACAAATTTGGTATCAAATCAATCCATTCATTTCTTGGAATTTCAATACTGGCGATCATAGCAATTGCACTAGCTACCTGCTTTCTGACAATTAATGATTAGGTAGCCAAACATCCCAAAAATGCAGTTTTTAATTGCTCCTTAAAATTTGCATCTAATTTGATCCAATAATCTTGATATCTTTAGTCCTATTGATAATTTTCAGCCAAAGAAAACTTACTGATCCTTTGTTTGCAATAAAGTTCTTGACTAGTACTGCAGACATTAATCTCACCTAGTCGGGATTGGTTTCGTCAGCCAACTCTTTGGTAAGAGAAGCTAGGAATTTTCTCTACAATAGTTAAGTGAAAATGAGATTCTTACTGGGTCTGTATCTCTACAATTTCTGATTTCATTTTCAGATTACTTTCTAACTTATGATTCTAAATAATTAATGGTTAGAACCATGCATATATAAGGAATTGAAGTTTCAAACGCAACTTACCTATTGCTAAAGTATTTGCAAGATGTGTTTTTAGTTCGGGGTAGAATTCCATCAGCTCGTGCTTATAAACTTAATGATATTTAATAAATATTAATAAAGCTAAGCTTACTAATTCTCCCATATATATTCTCTCGGGGTTTTGGGGTTTTGGGGTTTTGGGGAGATCGGAAGAGCACACGTCTG